TCACTGAGTTACGCAAGCCCCTTCGCCACGACAAGGCAGTGATCCATGAAGGGGAGAATAATATTAACTATATTTAAATTAAATTATAGTTTAAACTAAATTAAATGAAATTTAGTTTTTGTCCTGCTCGTTGACTACTTCACCCTAGCTTTACAGTTTGGACTGCAGTGATAATCCTAACCTTGCTGTTTCATCCAGAGGCCAAGGGTGGTCCTCAGCCTCATAAAAGGTGGCCACTTATTGGGAACACAACCTAGACTATGATTTCAGTCTGGAATCTTTTTAGCTCTATCTGGGGAAGCCAGAGATTGAAGTTTTGATTTCTGAATGTAAGCCCTGTCCTCAGCCATAGAGCCACAGTGGCTCTCTCCTTCATATTTGGTTTTAAAAAAGAAAAAGAAGCAGGAGAAGGAGAAGGAAGAGGAGGATCTCCTTCAATTCAATTTGGGAGAGAGGACCTCTGAGATAACCACTGGGACAGGAGGAGGCTGGCATGGAGAAACAACAGGAGGTTATTGGCATGGAGGTTGGCATGGAGAAACATGAGCAGATGTCATTATTTACACTGGCTGAAATGTTGAGTTACAGGAAAAGCAGCAAGGAAGGGAAGACAACGGCCAACCAAGGAAAGGAACAATTCCTTCCATTTCAGTTTTTAGTTTGTTCCCTTTTTTCCTACTAGAAAGAAACCTCTGACCCTTAGTATATTTTTTTCATAGCCAATCTTCAAATTTTAAGCACATGTATTAAGATACAATAAATGTAGAAGCCAGTTTTTCTAAGAACAGATTATGGAACCTTTGCTCTTCCTCGAGGTCAGCAATGATGCGTTCAAGTTCTCCTCGTTCTTCTTTCTCCACTGACTTCAAGATCTGTGTTGGACTCTGTGGCTGACTCATTGGCGAATCACCTCCCAGAGTCTGGCAATACTGCTGGATAAGAGCATGCTCATCTTCCCTAGAGATAAAGAAAGCCAGTATAAATATACACTTTACATGTTTGAAATATAAATGAATTGTATATATTTACTCAATGCACAACTAATGGCATAGTTTTAAATCCTGTAAAATTGCCTGAAAAGGCAAAAAAATGCATGGTATATTAACTTAAAAGAAGAGAAACTTACAATTTTACAAAGGATTACACTGATTGCTGCTTTAAATAGTAAGCCATCTGTGTAACATCGATGGGCAACCTATTTATGCTAAATGTTTTTTTGTGGTAGGGGGTGGACCCCCAGAGTTATCTCCAACTGCACAATGGCAAAAAATTGGTAAAGCAGTTTTCTACCATTTTGAGACAAAAACTAACACAAATATCACATAAGCCCTAAAATAGGCCTAATACAAAAGGGACTCCTTAAACCTTACTCCCTCAAAACAGAAAAACATGAATAATCTTGGCACCACCCATATGCACGCATGGTTCCCCATTTTGCATCCCTGTACCATGCACTATGGACTCCCATTAACCTCCTCAAAATACTGTGTGCCCTGTTTGCCTTTCAAATTTAATTAATTAATTAATTAATTAATTAGGTTTAGAGATCATTCTGTAACCAATAGCTTCTTCATTGAAGTAACACCAGACAAAGATATTTTCTCACTACCTTTTCATTTTTCATCTGTTTTGCCAACTGAGTGGTCTGAAAGTCATCCCTGAAGATGCCAACAGTTTAAGGCAGATCTATTATGCACATATCAATCTCAGGTGAATGTTTCCACACTGACTTAGTGTAATGGTATGTGAGAATGACCTTGGGAGACTGGGCCCAGGGATGCCACCTAGGGAATGGTCAGAAAAGAGACCGCATATTCCGCAGCTGGATAGTGGGCAAGGCAAGAGGCTCAGAAGAGACCTTCCCTAATTTCTTGGGGTGTAAAGGAGACAGGGGAAGAATTGTGATTTTAGACTTGCAAATTTCTGTTAATATAGCTTTACAATAAAGTAGAATTAGCTCATCTGGTCGTGTTTCCTGTCTGGTCCACCTGGTAAGGCTAGTGACTCTGAAGCAAACAGAAAAGCCTTTGGTACGGAGTCACACTGATGCTAAAAAACAGAGTCTTAGGAAGAAATAGGTGAAGAGTAACTATACAATATATCAAAAATAGTGTGGCCTGTGAAAAGAGTTCTTAAGAATTTGATTTGTTTAGCTGAGCGGCACTGGTTCTTCAGCGGACTGCTCTCTCCCAGAGAGTCTAATTCATAGTTCATGAATGTTCTTGGATCCCTTGTTAAGAGTAGCAGGAATGCTTTTGCCCTTTCTGGTGTTTTATTCCTAATGTGTTTACTTTTGATTAGGCATTGTACGTACTGTTTGTGATTTTGTCCTGCATTTATTTATTTATAGTATCTCTCACAGTATCTGTTCAGCCGGTTCGATCTGGAAGGGTTGGCATGTTCTGGGTTCCATCGATTAAACCATGCCATGTGTCTGTGCCCAGGAAGTGCACCTTCTTTGCAGCAGTGCCTGCCCTCTGGAATGAGGTTCCCCCTGAAATTTGAATGGCTCCCACCCTACTAGTATTCCGAAGGGCCTTAAAGACCTGGTTCCTCACCCAGGGCTTTGGAGAGGATGACCGATGCCCCTTTCTTCCTCCCCCCCCCCCGTTTTCTTTTCCATCGTTCTTTTGTCTTGTGCCATTTTTCTGGGGTTTTTTTTGTATCGTTCTTTGTTTTTAAATGTTTTAACAACTGTGAACCACCCACAGTTGCTGGGAGTCATATACATTTAATAAATTATTATTTATTGTTTTTACTGTATTTATACTTACATATGATCCACTGACATCTGTAATTTCTCCTCCTGTGTGTGTGTGTGTGTGTGTGTGTGTGGGTTTTAATTTCCTTGTCTTTATTTTTACACAAAATCCAGTTCTATGCTGGTTAGGAACAGATGGGTGGGCTGGGGCAGGGTGAGAATAAAAGCTGCAAAGGCACAATTTCAAGACCTGTATGTCTTCCAATTATGTGTGAACCTGATTAAAGGTACTCAGGCTGGCTGGATGTAAGATGCTCATACCCCGTATCTTAAAGTGCTTAGCCTAGTTTTCAGGATGTCAGCAATTCTATGTTTTTTTTCTCCTCCAATCACATCCAAGATATGAGATCTTTGGCCAAGAAAGATAGGCCTGCTCTGTTAACAGGCCATTAACCAGAATTTTAACCAAAGGTTTTCTCAGTTCTATTCCAAAAATATTAACTACATAGTAAAAGTCTGCCCCCAGTTTTTTAGAGTCTGAATGCCATAAATATACTGTGAGTAATTCATGCTCTGCTCAGAAGTACTACTGGTGGTCAATGGAATTATTTCCAGGAAAATATGCAAATATGACTGACAATATCTGAATCCTAAAATTATGATATCACACTGGCAATTTTTAACAATAGGTTACTGAAGATCCCAAAATCTGGAATGAAAATCAGCAGAAGGATAATTTAACAAGATAGTAAGAGATACAACAGATGAAGTTATATCTATCTTTCTATTTACATCAGGTTTTTTTTAAAAAAAACCCATATATTTTTATAACTGATGTTATAAAATCATTGTTTTTCAACTTGGGTAGTTTTACATGAATAATAATTGCAGTTTTGTTCTTTAACTGAAGCAAAAGACCATAGTTAAACAAAAGTGAAAGCAAAAGCTTCTATATTTCATGGAAACAGAAAACAGAGAAAAGGGAAATGACATTTTGAGATTCTTGAAGTTGTTTTTGTTATTCATGGTGTAGTGTGACTTCTAAATATTGCACTGTGATTATTTTAAGCTGTAGCTTATCCAAAATCTATAATCAGAAATCATGGTTCCTGAATCTGATTGTTATGGACAAACCATAGTTTGACAATTACCTGAAACCAAAAGCAATTGTTTTTCTTGCAGCTGCACTGCAGAGGAAGTGGGGAGCAGACTTATGCTTGTACTAATAAAATTACAGTTTATCACTACATCTAAAGCTCAGAAATAGTTTTATATATTTACACTCTGTCTTCCTAGCATGAATTCTGCCATCCTTTCATTCCTAATCATACTATGGTTGTTATTTTATTTGCTCCAGGGTTACCGTGATTAATGCACAAACAGTCCAAAGCTTAATCACAAAGCCTGAAAATTGGGAATGGAATTAATAATAGTATTAGATTTAATACTGCATTATAATTAACATAGGAAAAGAAGAAAGTAAAAATCTATTGCCATTCAAAGTTGATCTTCAGAATATGATATTTTTCAAGTTCATTGGGAAAAAAATAGGAGAGTACTGGAAATTGGTAAATTTACCACTTAATGTTCACTTTCATCCATTGGAGAAGTTAAAGCAAGAATATAGGATTTAATTTCTAACTCAGTAATCATTTTTGAGCCTGTCAAATTTGCTCTCAATGGGATTTTGCATGGCAGGTTTATAAACAGAGGAACTGAGTCTGGAGGATGTCAAGCAAATTTGTCATACCTGTGCTGCAAAAATCTGGATAACCATTAGACAGAGATAAGTTTATTATTTTCTGTACAGGTAGTCCTCATTTAGCAACCACAATTGGGGCTGGCAACTCGGTCTTGAAGTAAAACTGCAACTGTGCTTATGATCTTCAGCTTTGCTTTGCTTTCCAGACCAGCGAAGGTCATAAATGTGAGGATTGGTTGTAAAGTTACTTTTTATCACTGTTGTAACTGCGAACGGTTACTAAATGAGGACTACATGAATGTGCATAGTTTTCATCACCAGTATGACCCATTTTTACTAAATTCAGCAGTCCCAACATTGTGCATTGATTGCTCTATGCTGATGCCCAACCTGTGATTGTAGAGAGGAAAGAAAGATTGGCTTTGCATGTTTAAACATTCCTATATAGCTATGATAATAGGTTGCTCTAGTCTATGCAATGGTTTTCTTCTAAAACATGTTTTTTTGAGGGAAAAAACAGCCTTGCAAAAATCCTCTCATTTTTTTTACTAAGTCACTCCCTTCAGTTAATCGAATGCTATATGCTATCATGCAATGCGATTATGATTATCTGACATTAACACAGACCACTAGGAAGCTCTAATTAATATCTATTTACTGGAAACTAACATTCATATCAATTAATAAAGTATTAGTCAGACACTTGTAATAAATGAGTTGCCATTAATTTTATAATAATTCTAGTTAGTAAATCTACTTACACGCTTCCTGTGGTGGAGCTACCATCTGTGAAGAAGGAGCCATTGGTCCGCTCCATCTGGGCCAGCCTAAAAGGCAAACAGTATTCATGAAATATAAATTATGATTATGTTTCATACAGATCAGTTCTCATTTTGGGCAACTGTAGTATTTACTAGTAGGTTAATATGGGTTACTGCTTAATTCCACAATAAATGTTCATTCTTATTTCCTTTCTTAAGAACCTCATGATTTCCTTGACATATCATTTTTTAAAAAATATGCTACCATGTCATTGTTCTTTGAAACAACCTTCTTTCATAACTTTTGCTTATATTTCATAATCTTCATGAAATAGCAGAGTTCCAGTAAGAGTTAATAATGCTCCTGGGCCTTAAAATAAGGCTGGACTTATCCAGATGGAAGCCCATCTATGCCCTGCATATACCCAAGATACCTTCATCTGCCCTGCTGTCCCCTCTAGTTCCCTGAGAGATACAGAAGGTGTGATCACTCATCACATCTCAAACTCACTTTTAAAGGAGAATGGCCTAGCTTCCTGTTTATTAGTTTTCAGATAAAATATTTTAATTTTTTATCATTTTGGGCAGAATGTAAGCCACTTTATAGACCCATTCAACCCCCACCCCAAGAGATTAAAAAAATTCCAGAAACCCAAACTGATCAATAAGGGTGCACTTCTGAGGTACATTGTGTATTAACCATTAAATGATCATTCAATGATGGCCACAACTTTAATGAAATGTTAAACATGATCATACCACTTTTCAATGTTCAGTCTTCTAAGTTTACAGGAATAGATTTATTATAATACAGCAGAATGCACACTTTCCATTTTGTAATGTCAGTTTCAGTTCTGTAACAGATATCAAGGACAGCAATATCTATACATACATGTATAACCCAGAGAGAGTTTGCCTCTTACCTGTTAGCATATTGCTCTATCCTGGAATGGGTGTCATCGTGAAATAGTTGGGGAGATTGGGAAGGGCTAGCAGAATTTAACAGAAAAGGAGTTGGTATCATTTGTTAAATTATAAAAAAGCAAGAACTTTTTACAGTATTAAAGATAAAATAATGAAATGTTTCTTAAGGTGATGGGTTCGACGCATATAAATGTGGTAGCAAGTTAAGAAAAGCGTTATTTGATGTCTGTCCTATTCAAATAAATGGGAGACAGAGAGAAGCATGATTGTGCATAGTTTCATTAATTTCCACAAAAGTTGCAGAAGAAATATTTGATAAATTAAACCCAGCTACCTTACCAAGCACAAATATGGAAGATACTCACTCATACTGTTCTGGCCACATACTAATAAGCGTGATAGGACTGTAAGAAAAGGAGTAGAGAAAGAAAGCAGGAGATTAAAACATTAAAGCTATTTAAAGAGGTACAGCATGGTATATTTATTCATTGTTCTACCCCAAGATTTTGTTTTAGAAGTAGTAGAGGAAAAATGAAATTGCCCATAACCAAAAACTACTTTTTTGGTTATGGGCAATTTCCGAGAGAAGAAATTATCTTTTGGTAATGAAATAGAAGAGCAATAATCTTAAAAATAATATCTTTCCCCATCTCATAACCAGAAAAGGAACTAATTAAAACCTTACATGGCTCTTAATTGTTAGGAATTTGTTTGAACTGTTGTGCTAAAAATGAAGCTTATACAGAATGTCATGCTTTATTACACTAACCTAGAGCGTTCATTCTGTACAATTTGATCTGATTGCAATTTTTCGGTATATTATTCTGTTTTTATATCTTTGGCATGTATACTATTCAGCAAACAGGTGTACAGGAAGTTTGAATGTACAGAAAACTCATGGTAATTCTATCCGTTAATGATATCATTACAATGCAGATAAGCTAGGGTACAATTTAAAAAGACTTTCAGGATGAATATATTTGATGAGACCATCTTAGGCAATATGTTCCTCTTCCACTGTAATCACATTTGAACCCCAGATATGTTCTCCTTCTTTCAATGAATGTGCTTTTCATTTAAAGAATAAAAACCAATTTCTAGGCATGGTTCAATAAGCAATTTTAAATCTGTCTTTAATTCATTCCCACTAAATAAATGGAACTTTAAAGTGGTTAAAGTTGTTGTATTGCATACTTTCATGAAATGTACTTTTAAAAAATTCTTAAACAAGTATAGCTTATATGTTTCATAAAAGGACATTTTTACTGTGCCTAAATTTTTAATACTTTTGTCTTTTAGTTTTCTTCTTGCATTAGTACATCCTTAGCTATAAACTAATATGCGAAGTATTCTCTCACTGCACCTTTTACCCTTAAAAAACATCGTTGTGAGAAAAAATACTGTACTGAAAAGCACCAATCTGAACTCAAAACTCACGTCTCTAAATTGTCGCCTTCTAAGACTGTTTGCACTGGCAGATAACCAAGTCGTGGGTGTTTAGCAAAATATTTCTTGGATCGGAACTTATTTTTTAGCACTTTGGTGAAATCACGTACATCTTCCCCTGATGTGGTCTAGGAGAAAAAAAAAATACAGAAAACACAAATTAAATGTTTACATTCTGCTGGAAATGAGGAATATATTACATTATATTGTCAACTGATGCTGGCTACCATTTGCAAATGACAATTATGTAAAATTACTAGAAATAAATTGTTACAAGCCAACGCAAAAGCAAGAATACAAAAAGATTCGATTTTAAAATATTTTATTTCCACTTAATAAAGTGAGTTGTAACAAAAGTTAAAACAGACAAAATCTAAAAGTCTCCATATTGTATTCAAAATATGAATGAATATAACAAATAAATTAAACTTATTTAAATATTTTAAATATGCTCCTAAAATAGAACTAAATAAAATGAAGCATTATAAAACTAAGATTCCCTTACTACCCTCTCAACAGGGCATCAAAGCTAAGGGGGCCAGCAGTGTTTTCTATCAATATATTTAAGAATAAAAGATAACAATGTTGTTTCTGCATCGAAATATTTAATCCTCCCTTTGAAAGTTTTAAGAGTATACGCATTACTTAGTCAAACAAATGCTATACTCATGTGCATTGCCATCCATAGGGATATGAAAAAGTGGATGAATACGTACGTATGTACATATGTACTCATCAAATGTAGAATGAGAGGATTTTTCCCCTTGAAGTGTAGAATGTACATTTATTCACTGAGGTTCAACAAAAAGGGGAATGGCTACTTCTGTATGAAGAATAATTATCTCAAACAACCACCCAGACTCATTATTTGGAGTGTTTTTTGTGAGACAGAAGAAAACTAAAACATAGAAGTAGTTTCTCAGATTTGTAAAAATTGGTAAGAAAACCAACACAACTCTGATTTTGTTTATATTCTAGAAAACTTCCTTCAAATTTTTTTTCACTCCAGGTTTCCACATATGGTCAAGTTAATACTCCAACAGATGATATCATTATTACAAAATGAATTCTGACAGAAAGAATGAATGGCTAATAAAGAAATGGTGTTTCGATCAACTGTGCTCATAATTCTATTTTATCTCTATGAGTACAAGACAGAGTTTTGTATTAGAGAATACACAACCATTACGATACCAAAAGCACAAAAGAAGCATCAAGAACAATGTCAACACTGCTGATAAAGTTATCTGAGATATTTAGAAGCCCTGATCTAAGGGCATTTTTTGATATTATCTTATAGCTCTCAGTGAAGTTCCATTAAATATGAAACTTCACAACTATTTATGAAACACTGGAACATATTTCCAAACACATTAGTAGTTGCTGTTATCCTTAATATTGTTTCCAAATAATTCAGGAAGGTTTTGAGATTGGTTTATTGGTTTTCAACATGATGTGAGGACAAAATCAATCTCACTTTGTTTGATGTGTTGCTCAATTTATTCCTCACTATAGACACCTAATCTTTCTCAATTCCATAATTTCGCTTTGAGTCTTAAAACTAGAAGAAGATTTTTTAGTTAACCCTGCCAAAGATCCTAGTCACTTTTGCTGAACTTTGTCAAGTTGGAACAATGGAAGATTTTAATAAATGAGAGACTTTATTTGGCCTAGTGCCTGAAACATCAGAAATAAAAAAATGTTAACTAAATGTTCACAATTGCTGACTTGATTAAACTTATTGTATGATTCAGCCATGTTTCATATGCTCATCTAAGGTTGTTATTTTTTTTCCTCAGAAGATGCTCATCTTTAAGAATTCTGTAGCAGCTGGAAAGAGCTGTATCTTCTGAATATTCTGGTGGAAATAGATGAGATTATCAATTGGTTCCTTTTGATAAGCACTTACCAAGCATCACCATTGTCTTCCTAAATGCAACTGAGAGAATTTAGGTTTTTAAAAAGACTGAATGATGAAGAAAATAAAATGGGCAGCTTTAAATATTCTAATTTGTTTTTGAAGCAGTTCAAAAAAAGCATAATTACAAATAACATAAAATAACAGCTATGAATAACAGGATAAACTTAAAATAATATCAACAGTAATAAAGGAGAAATATAGTTATTACTGTCAGCCATAAATTTGATGATGAGTCAGCTATACATTTGATGATATGCTCTTCAAAAGTTCAGTAAAGCATCCAACTTACTAGATAAAGGTTTGGACACCTTCTTGAGAAGTACTGGTATGGATGGGTGGATGGAAGGCAGAATGTTTCCAGTCAAGTACCCAACAAGCCAATGCTAAAACTCTTCCAGCATATTATAATCTAACTCCAGTCTTTCTCCCAATTTTCCCTCTTATTTGAATAGAAGAGTTCCTTGCAAAGATGTAAGATAGATCAGTTCTTTTAGTTGTCAACTCACCAACTTGGTGAAATCAATGGATTTTCTGTTCAAGTAATAATTGAACAGAATAGGTTCTCTGGTAGCTGCTAGTTTCAATAGGCTATTGAATAAATTGTACTAATTGATGTGTGTGTGTGTGTGTGTGGATATAGATATTCATAGACAACTAATAATCCCAGAGCTTTATTCGGAGCAGGGCTATGAAAATAACTGGGAAAACAGGATGGAGAAAGGGATTATATTTCATCTCTTGGGATTGCAGGATGAGATTTACCAAGCAATCATGAGTCCAGAATTGTACTTGAAAATTCTGGCTGGAGGAGGCAGGTAATACTGAAAGATTCATGAAATCTTGGGCTGACAAACACGTTCAGACAAGGAGTTCTTTTGTTCTCTTAAAGGATACATTTTAAGATTATACAAATTATTGCCATTTCTGGTGACCAACTTCTCCAGCTGAGAGATCAAAGTACTAGTGTTGGACACATGCCTATGTTTTGTTCTCCATCTGTAGAACATCTGGATTTACAAGACATACCAAGGCAGCACAGGGCTTCCTTGGTGATGTACATTGTGGGAACTCAGCTAACGTGGAGTGGAACTTTCACACCCACTGACTGAGGTGCTAGCAAATTACTGTCCACTGAGGCTGCAGCCACTCAACACAACCACCTGCCACTCTGCACCACTCCCACTCCTTGTGCCACGCTAGGCAAATACCTAAATTACTTCAATAGTGCCCCAGCCCTGTGCACCAAGACCCTAGAAACTATCATTCAATAAGCTCTCTGGCATATATTTAGGATGATAACTTCACATCTTACCCATTTGTGTTGAAATCTGGGACTTTCATGAATAATTACATGCTCCTAAGCTTAGGCTGTCTGAATAATTGATGCAGTTAGCACTTGAATGCATCACAAAATGGATGTTGTCATTCCTGGCATTAATCTCCTAGTTCAGCTTTCTCAATTTTTGCTTGCTGCCATGCAAGTTTAAAATAATGTCTTTTATATATATTCCTAAATTACAAGGCTGAGAAATAAGGGAGGAAGGAGACTGTGAGATTTTTCAAATTGTCCTGCATAAAGGTTAGCCACTTCTGAGATTACACAGAACCTAGGATAATAATTTTCACTTACTAATAGAATTTCTGATTAAAGTAAAATAGTTTTTGCCCCAAGCACTTTTACCCTGTAGGTTAAAAAAATGAGAAGAAGATAAAGGCGGTAAAGATGATAATAGAAATTTAAATTTATTTTGTTAAGTATAGAATAATGTAATTCTTAATTTCATCTGACCAATCATTGCAAAAGTGTCCTGCATCCATCTTCTTAAAAAAATATTATGAAGTCCTTAAAACAAGAACCAGTGTCAGCAGTCCACAAACCTATATATTTTGAGCTGTCTCCAATGTGTAATTGCTGTCTGCTGCAAAAGACTGCCTCGTGGATTCAATATATATGGATTTTAGCCAATGCATAAAAACCTGATGTTCAAGGTTTCAGGTTTGTGTAAACTTTTAGAGCTATATTGCAAGGTGGAAGAAAACTGTGTGTGATATTTAAGACCATTTTGAAGCTAGGTCCTAATTCTAGAACAGCATCTTACATAATCAATTGCAAAAATATTGTAATCTCTATCTTGCAATATATTTGCTCAAGCTGCAAAAGCATCTTTTATCAATTGTCTTGAGTAAAATATTTTCATCACTGAAAGTACTATAGGTAGTCCTCATTTAGCAACTGCCTCTAGATAGCAATGATTCACAAGTACGACACTAATAAATGGTAATTAAAAAAAACTTCTGACCAATGTGCACATTTAGGACACCAAAAGCCTTCGGTGTGCAACTGATTATGGTCTGGTCAGTTTCAGGCAGCAGCTGCCAGCCAGCCAGAGGATTCTAATCAACTAATTAAGGTCACAGAGTTGAACTTGTTAACTTGCCCTTAGCACTTTTTAGGGACTCTCCCAGGTTAAAGTTCCCCTCCCAGGAAGAGAGGAGGAGGCAAAAAAAAAAACCCTGGGAGGAGGCAAAAGAAGAAGAAAACAAACGGGTCAGGGACAGGACAAGAGAACTTTATCTGAATGAGATGGCAGCAACCAGCGATCTTTGCAGTGTCTCTTAGTCCATGTTACTTAGTGACCATTTCACTGGAACCAACTGCAGTCACTAAATGAGGACTACCTGTATTATCTTTGTATCATTTTTACTGTGTTCTTGGCCACCCAGAGCAATGTATGGCCAGCCAATTTCCAAATTGGCTGGCCATACAAATCAAGGTAATAAATAAATAAAGCAAGCTGACATCCTTCTGAAGTTTTGAACCACAAAAATGCCATTCTAAACACAAAGTGTATGAATTTATATGATGAATCAAAATGATATGCAGAGGGTACAGATTGTGATATTCCTAGAGGAAGGCAGAAGAACCTCAGCATCTAAAACCAATTCCTCATCTTGCCTTTAGAAACATATCAGGAATAGGAGGAGTTACTACTAAAAAGTATGCAAGGGTTGCTCTGCCTAATCCTTCTTGACATTACCGGTGTATATTACGGGGTGGATAAAACCATCACACTAAGGATATAATTAGTGCTGTCTTGAATTTTAACATAATTCAATTTTTGCTGTTGAAGGAGGCATTTCAGCAGTGGGTCAGCCAAAACAAATCTTGAAAGGGATTACTAAAAGATGAGTTATCACTATACCAAATCTTCATGCTTACTATTAGACAAAACCCCTAAAGTTCTATAGCAATTCATGCTGTTAAGCATTACTGTGAAGACAGTACTGCATTTAGTGGCCCACAAAGAAAGTTATTTCCTTTCATCCCCTGGAACTTGCATTCTATCCATCCAAACCTGTAAGAATTAATTATGTTCACACACAGACTCAAAAACCCACCATGTACCAAATTTCACACCAGGCACAGCAATGAAACTTGATGCTCAACCCCATATGGAATGGGCTCCCCACTGAGATCAGGCTGGCCTCATCCCTGGTAGTTTTGATGAAGTTACTAAAAATGGAGTTTTTTCAAAGACTCTTTCAGTAACATCACCTGCACCTCTTGTTGCTCTTATTATTGTTCTTTCTTATTTGGTTTTGTTTTTGCAATTTGGATTGTATGTCGCTTTGATTCTGTAGTTATTTTTACTATGACATTAGAACCACTTAGAGTTACGAGACTGCACTGGGATGAAAATAAAATAAATAAATAATAAACAGCAGCCAATTGAACATATATTGGATCCAAGCAAATGGAACACTGATTATACAGCCATCATGGGTGTTTCAGAAAACTATGTTACAAGCATGAATTCCTAAATAATATATTAAGAGTAGCAAATATTCATGGATTTTCCAAATCCCTTATCTTTCAACCTGATTGTATAACAATATATAATAATGGTAATAATAATAACAACAATAGAAATAGCAGCAGTAGCAGCAACAACAATAACAGTAATGCTAAAATAAGTGGAATACATTTTTAGAAAAAAAGCATATTTTTTTCTTTAAATTTTTTTCTAGATGAGGTTTTTCTTAAAAAACACACAAGTATTTTATACTTTCCGTCCAATAAACAAATAAAAAGAATGTTAAAAAAATAAGGTCATGAACATGTAAAATGAACATGCATATTGACAGCAGTATGTTAGAGCTCAACGAAGAATACATTACATGAACTCCATGGGCTGCAGCCAGAAATAGACTTACTGAAATAAATAGGATTTATTAGTTATGACTAGAAAATCTCACTGATTTAAATGGGTTGAAAATAAGTATTACTAAATCTAGATCCAACTTGAGATACCTAATATAATTCTATAAATTGTATAATTATATTATAAATCGTATATAAAATAATACTCCATAGCAGAGTTATTTCTGAAACTATTTCGAATGTTAAAAGTAGATGTCCTGATGATAATGTACAAGTCTCTAGGGCAAGGGTAAACAGCATCACTCAACAGCAAGCTAGGTCCATTTTCAAAAACATAACCCTACATATGTTTTACTGGATCCCATACTAACTTCAGTTCCCTTCAATACATTACATTTAATCCAAAAAATATTAGTTACCTTAGTAAAATAGAGTAAAGAACAGAAGAAAGAGGTATAATACGGAATAAACTGAGAGTAAATCAATTAAGAAGATTCAATACTCACTGGTATACAGTATTCCACCATTGGGTAATGTAATTTATGACCCTTTGCTGTTCGACCAGAGAAAAAACAGCTCTGGCAAATATCATAATTGAAATGTTTCAGGCTCCGATATCTGTGAATGGAATTTAAAAGAAAATGAAGACCCTCAATTTTGTGGAAATTTCAAAAACTTAATGCCAAGCTCCACAAATTTTGTAACTCAAAATTTTAAATTACAGAGTGTAAAACACAACTTAATTAAGATAGATGAACTAATTGTGACACTATTCATGGGGTTGGCAATTTCACAGTGATGATGATAATGATTTGAGTAAAATCTTGTGCAAACTATCCATGCTTGCTATTTATTTCATTAAAAACACTACTCATCTACCAATTGCATGAATAGCATGTTTAGTTTAGTCCTTAGAAACATCAAATAAAATTGAATGTAACCACAATCAGAACCAGAAAAACTACTTTTTAAGAAATCTAAGGGGAAATTCTGGTCAGTAAAGCCCATTTTTTAATTATTTACTGACTGGCACAAGAGACTGCATTCCCATGTAGTAGTATGCCATCGCTTTAGCATAATTATAATTGGTCTGAACGTCAACATCTATCACAGGTCTCAATGTTTGCATTATCTTCTCACACAAAGCAGGAGAGAAGAGGAACCACTGCAGAAGAATACACCATATCGCTATATGAATGTGTTCCTGAAGGAAGAGATTGATTGATTGTTCAGTACAATCAAAAGGATCACACTCTATTACAAGGTGGTGATTGTCACCAGAAGCAACCAAAGAAGTAGCCTAAAGAAAATTAAGAATTATTTTTTTAAATTATAATTTACATCATGGTCTTCTTTGTTATATAATGCGTATTTACAGTTACTGTGTGTTCACAGCTAAGTTTACATCATTTATTCAATTATTTTGATGGCAATTTGAAAGAAGGAGTTTGAAAGAAGGAAGAAGCAACCTTTAATATTCCATCCAAGTGTTTAAAATATTTTAATTTTAAAAGGGAGCAGTCCACTTTTATCTGTGACAAAATAAGTTAGGTTCAGAATGTTCTTCCCATGGATGTCAGGGATGTTTCCATCCATGGGAGGCTTCAGAGTGGCAGAAAATTCCTGCTATCAAAATGAAGCTTTTTTGATTAGCAGCTAATAAAAATATTGTGTTTTACTTAAATTTCTAGCAGTAGGCCCAGTAGAAGATTTAACTACAAAATAGGCAATTTCTGTTAGGCTGTAATAAACACTTAATAGTAAAATCAACAGAAATATACGATAAGGCTACTGGGCTCCCTTTTGTCAATACCAACTGACAAATTACTTTACATGTAAACAGGTCAGTGAGTTTCAATAAAGGGAAAAATGAATCCATTTTCTAATACATTCTATGAAGAGAAGATAGGTAAATAGCAACATGCATTATCTGTATTATAGCATAAACTGAATTTTCAGTGTTTTAGAATCCAAAATCAGGAAAATATGCTAAAATGTTATAGTCTGGTATTCAGTGGCCTAATGACATAGAGAAGATAATGACCCAGTTTTCTTTTTACGATTAATCCATTTAGAAATGTGGGAGTTCAACTCCAGAATTTACTAATATTTTTTTTTAGCAGATAGCAAGCTTATATACTTTTGTATAACGAACTTTTAGATACTCCAAACAACTTCTGGGTAATTGCTGATGTTGATGTACTTTAGTCTTAATGCAGATGTCTGTTGGCCTGATTATGACTTTTGAATATACTGTATATGGATAACTTAGGGGTTTATGTTGAGAAATGCTGAACCAGCTACTGCTACTCCAGTGTGACATAAAATGTAATTTAAATAATGCAATTTATTTTTATGATTGGATGCAATAGCCACATTGATTTTTTTCCCCTGTCTTCGCTTTATACTCATTCAACTTTCTTTTAGTCCATATTTGTTTCTCTCATTTATATTGAGTAAATGCAACTAATGTGCTGGCCTTAAAATTAAATAGAAGCTGCAAAGGAATCAAGCAAGCAGGAGACTACCAAAGATGGACTGGCAGGATTTAATCTTGCAATCTTTGCCATGTTGGTGATAAAACCTGTCTCCCTGAAGCTGTTATTAGCATAGAGGTGAAAGACTCCATTGTAGCCAGTGAAGGCTTCATTTCCAGAAAAAACTGCAGCTTGGAGTTCTATATTCTGTAGGGACCATTGTGCTAGTGGTGGTACGTGTTTGTGTGTCTCGGTGTGTAAATTATCTCTTTAGCCCATGTGGTGCCATTGCTGCTTGAATACTGAAATGACTGTGTATGTTTTAATATACAAATTAATTACTATTTAAAAGATTTTAAAAATTAAACAAACATGGCAAACCAGAATGATAAATAAAATACATTAATAATATATATTAACATGCATACTACTTTGTAAATCATACATTAAAAAAGCATTAAAAAGTTAACAGAGTTATGTACTGAGTCATATTGAAAAAAATGATAACCAAATCTCTTCAAATTGGCCCTGGTGGAGAGTCCTCCATGTTATTTGCATATGCTGAGTTTGGTGTTCCTTTGATGCAGTATCTCAGATCATGGAGAACCTTCTACAAAGGGAAAATCTCCCCCTTCATCCTAAGAAATGGCAATTTCCAATCTATCAACAATTAACGGCATTGTAAATAAGTCTTCGTGCAGCAAATTTGTGAAATATTCAATATTTTTGTGATTCAGGATACCCTCTAATTTGAATAACTAACTGAATCTGGTTAATACTTAGACGAAACACTACCAGAAAATAGCAGGGCTTGGAGCTAGCCTGGAAAGTAAAACCATTCTGGAACAAGATAATGGCAAATCCCTGCCCTATTGTTTCCCCAAAATACATGGATGTCTCTGCGGAATGACTAGAAGCCAAGCTCAGCTCAAAGGAGAGTATCTTCCACAGTAAGACAGGTTCAAGGATCATGGAAGAAGTCTGTATGATGGAAATGAGGCCATGGGATTCACTAAATAAATACAGCTGGGAGTCGAAAAGGCAGGATTTTACATTATGAAAAGAAGAAGCAACACAAAAATCCCAAACATTTGCTGAAGAAGGAAGGAAGGAAGGAAGGAAGGAAGGAAGGAAGGAAGGAAGGAAGGAAGGAAGGAAGGAAGGAAGGAAG